AAAAAAAAAAAAAAAAAAAAAACAGAAAAGAAATCCCTGAATGAAAGGCCTGCATTTTTTTCCCCATAGTCTCTCATAAATGACATTATTGGCCTGTTTTGACCCGCAAGTTTTAAAAATCTGTTTCCTCGTTCACAACAGATTAGAATCTGAACTGGAAGGGACTAAGGTAGTAGAATTAGAGACAAGAACATAGTTTTAGGAAAAACTTTGTTAGTCTTTCATGAAAGGGGAAAGAAACTAAAATATAGAAAGAAAATTATATTACTATGCAACATACAATGATTCATGGTCGGAATGGTGAAACTGTATCATCAAGAAATGAGTACATTATATCAAATTTAGACATCTGGATCAAAATGGTTTTTATAAGGGGTAGGCATTTGAAGAATTATATTTCAATTACCTAGAACACTCCCTTATCAAAAGCCTTTCTCCCCAGCAATGTCAATTAAGCAATACATAAATGGATTTTCTAACATTTTAATATGTTTTCAAGTTACTCAATTTCAAACAGATAAGTGGTATTTATTTATCTATTTTTTGCGGCTGGCTGGTACGGGTACAGATAAGTCATCTTTAAATTCTCAANGTTTTAGGAAAAACTTTGTTAGTCTTTCATGAAAGGGGAAAGAAACTAAAATATAGAAAGAAAATTATATTACTATGCAACATACAATGATTCATGGTCGGAATGGTGAAACTGTATCATCAAGAAATGAGTACATTATATCAAATTTAGACATCTGGATCAAAATGGTTTTTATAAGGGGTAGGCATTTGAAGAATTATATTTCAATTACCTAGAACACTCCCTTATCAAAAGCCTTTCTCCCCAGCAATGTCAATTAAGCAATACATAAATGGATTTTCTAACATTTTAATATGTTTTCAAGTTACTCAATTTCAAACAGATAAGTGGTATTTATTTATCTATTTTTTGCGGCTGGCTGGTACGGGTACAGATAAGTCATCTTTAAATTCTCAAGTCCTTCCTATAGTCACAGCAAGAGGTTATAACAGCCCAGACTCAGGAATGGATCTCTTGTGTGTACAACCTGGCTCTGCCACCCCCTAGCCCTGTGTCCTCAGGCACATTACTTGACTTCTCTGTGCCTAGGTTTCCTGTCAGTAAAATGGGATAACAGCAGTATACACCTCATAAAGTTGTGAGGTTTAAATGAGTTAATATTTGGGGGCCGGCCCGGTGGCGCACTGCTACAGTGCACCGCTTGGGAGTGCGGTGGCGCTCCCGCCGAGGGTTCGGATCCCACATACAGACCGGTTCCCGCTCACTGGCTGAGCGAGGTGTGGGAGCAACACCGAGGGTTGCGATCCCGTTGCCAGTCCCGGTCCGGTACGGGCACAACACTGAGGGTTGCGATCCGTTGCCGGACACGAAAAAAGACAAAAAAATAAAAATAAAAAAATAAATGAGTTAATATTTGGGAAGTGTTTTGAACAGTTCCTGGTATACAGTAAGCGCCACATTAAGTACAGGCAGTGTGCCATGTGTGCTTTATTTCACTTAATTTTCATCATAGCCCTAAGAGATATAAAGCCATGTTACCCCTATTTTACAAGCAAAGAAACTGGGGCTCAGAGACTGAGCAACTGCCCATGGTCAGTCAGTAGATAGAGATCCTGGAGACCCGGAAGCCCAGCCCGTGTCCCTCTGCTCGTCCGCTACGCTCTGTCCAGCCTCGGTAAATGGACCCTATTCACTTCAACACAAAGAGGTCTCCAAACACAGTTCTGGGGTATGACACCAATCGAACTCAGCTCTTGCCTCAGGGAGCATAATTCTGTCTAAGGGTTTAGGAAAGAGTATTATTTTGCTGAGCTGCAGGGCAGAGGGGCACAAGGGAAGGAAAGATATGCTTAAAATAATTTGAGATAACAAACTAAAGTCAGTCAGAAATAAACAGGCTTTTTAGAACATATTTTAATATAAGAAATGCCCATAACTTTATTTCTTTTAATGCTCAGAATTCAAATAAAAGCCATCCTGCTATATGCTCATTATCTAAGGAGAAAAAGTTTTGTTTTGTGCTGAGAAGAGCAAATGAGAATATTAATCAAGCATCATGACGGTTTCACTCTCTTTTCTACACCTTGTTCCGTCTGCCTAATCTGAACGAAGATGGTATGACAAGAACAATTCCACTGCACTACCACCACTAACTGCTGCATTTACCTGCATTACAACGAACATGTAAAATATTACGCGAGTACATTTTGGAATCTACGAGTTTAAAATAAGGTTCTCTTTTCAAGAGGATTCATTCTAATTACTGTTATTTATTCATTTACATTTTGTGACTACTAAAAAGGAGCCCCTCTACTTATGATCTGGCAGGAAGACAAATCTGCTTCTAACCTGATATACAGTGGTGGTTGACAGCCACAATGCATTGGAAATGCTCCAGTCAGTATTCATGGGTGACTTAGAAAGAAATTCCAGGCAAGCACTGTGTACCTAGAGAATCTGGGATCAATCCTCCATGCCCTTGCCTAAGGAAGTCCTATAAATTGTACAAAACCCAAACTCAGGGTCAGAACCTTACAGACCACAGCCTGCTTATCTTTGTACTACATTTACTCAGCTAGCTTAAAAAAAAAAAAAAAAACTACTAAACATAATGCATCCTTTGGACACAATTTTCTTTCCACAGATGACTAAAAAGGAAGTGGGATGCCCACTCAGGAAGCACCTTGACCGACGTGACTGTTTTTCTTTCCCTGGATGTACAAATACACTCCACCATGATGCAACCCTGGAAGTGGGAATCCTGCTCTCACTTACTAAGTGCTTTTTCTAAAAGAATTTGCAAAGGATAAGAACAGTAGGTTGAAATTCAAGTTGTTACACCCTTAGGAGAGCCACCACTCCCACTGGGCCCCAGCAATCTCCTTCCCTCATTACCCAGGGAGCATATTCTCTTTCCCAGTTCTCTGCTCTCTCAAAATAAGACTGAAAAACAACCAGCCAAAAGCCCATGAAACAGAACAGTGGACTACCCAGATGTTCTTGGTACATATGACTAGTAGCTGATAAACACAAAACACAGTTCAAACAAATCTTTACAAAGAAAGTAGTATACATTCTATAATACTGACCCAATGTTATAAATGTTTAATAACAAGTTACTCTAAGCCTTACTAAAAGATTTTTAGAAAACTGAAAAGGAGAAATGAACCAGCAGACATGTCATCAGATTTTCCTCTATTTGATTTGTCTTACACAGTTACTAACAAACCTAGCAATAAGTAGATCTCTGTATTGTGGACCACATTTTATTATTTACAGGCACATCTATTTCCTTCACTAGATTGCAAGCCTCTTACAGGCAAGAATCTTTGTGTACAGAACATGGTAGCCATAAAGTCTGGAAATGAGTGATGTCACTATTTTTTTAAAATAGATTAAACCCCCTTGATTTCTTCTTCTGGAGTATGCTAAAAAATTGAAGACTTATTCAGTGAGAATCAGACTCACAAATTATCAGAGGCAACACAAAGCAGACACACATGCAGAGTTTGGTGGGAATTCTGCATTAAAGCACGGTGTCCATTGCAATGGTGCATAGTACATTTAACTATAGGTCACTATAAAAGACAGCACACTGAACAGATCGTGTGACATCAAGCAACACAGTATGTACTGCAATGCAATATCATAAACCATTTATTATGCACATTCATCTCTTTCCAGACTGAATGGCTTCCCTGTTGGTGCTCAACAAATGTTTCTGAAGTTAAACTATAAATCATTAACATCCCTCATACTCTAAGATCTTCTCAGAAATCAACTCTTTTGCTATTGACATCACAGGTTGTATACCACTTAGAAAAGACAGATGATGCCAGTGCTGGTGGGATGAGATTGAAAATCCTGCCTGGAAATCATGTGATTATATCTATAAAAAGCCTTAAGAGCCAGTCCGTGGCTTACTTGGGAGAATGTGGTTCTGATAACACCAAGGCCATGGGTTTGGATCCCTGTATAGGGATGGCTGGTTAGCTCACTTGGGAGAGCGTGGTGCTGACAACACCAAGTCAAGGGTTAAGATCCTCTTACTGATCATCTTCTTTTTTTTTTTTTTTTTAAAAAAAAAGAATATACATATCCTTGGGCCCAGAAGATCTATTTTCAGAAATCTGAAATAAATAATTGAACAATCAAGAATATTCACTGCAGCATTACTAAAAATAGAAAAATAAGGGTCATGGGTTCAGATCCCCATACTGACCAGCCGCCAAAAAAAAAAAAAAGAAAGAAAGAAAGAAAAATAAGAGAAATTGTTTAGACAGAGTGTCTGTATAAAGAACTGAGAACTGGAAGAGACCTTAAAAGTCATCTCATTCCAGAATTTCACTCTATGGAAGAGAAAACGGACACTCAGAAAAATTAGGGCACTTATCTAAACAAGGTCTCACAACTAGTTAGTGGCCCAAACAAGTGAGAAATCAGGTCACCTGAAAAGAACAGTATCTCAAAAACGAACTCACTGGAATAGAACTCAGTGGAAAATAAAAGCAGAGAAATAAAACATTTTCCTGGAAAAATGTCAAGCACTGAGTTATGTCCCTGATGGGAATCACTGGTGCACTT